AGACGCAGGGGACAGCGCGACGGGAGAGCTTGTCCGCGGACGTGTCGCGGACAAAAGCTCGGGATCCCCAGACCCGAAAACGCGACGCATCGCCAGCCTCTCCCGTCCAACGCAGTGTCGGAGAAGTCTCGGGCAAGGAGACACGGGGCCAGAGGTTGAGCTGATGCGCAGCGTATCGGACTGCAAACGGCCACAGAAAATGGGGGGCAGCCGCATGGCTCAAGGAGGTACGAGCGACCTCCATGACCAGACCAATGCGGCGCTCAGCAACCCCATTCTGCTGTGGAGAGGCCGGAAGCGTGTACGACTGCTCAATGCCCTCCTGCTGACAGAAGGCCTCCAATAGGCCAGAGGAAAACTCCCCACCTCTGTCAGAGTGCAGACGCAGGACAGGGAAGTCGGAGCGGAAACGCTCACTGAGCTGGAGACGAGATCTGCGGATCCAAGGGATCAAGACATCAGGGACGTCACCCTTGGCGCGCAAGGGGAAGACCGTGGTGTAGCGCGAGAAGTCGTCAACAACAATCAGGAAGTACCTCTCCTGACCCTGACCACGGACGCGGGCTGGGCCCCACACGTCCATGTGGAGCGTCTGCAAGGGAGCAGTCGTCGGGGGAAAGGAGGAGGAGTGAGGAGCGGCGCGCTGCCGTCCCTCGACACAGGGAATACAGGGAGGAGCAGGCGAGTCGGGAAGGGGAGGGAGCACCCTGGGAAGACCAGCAACAAGGTCCTGTTTGTGCATGGCCCGAAGGCGCTGCACAGACGGGTGACCAAGGCGGTGGTGCCAAAGGACAGTCTCATGCGCCAGAGAGCGACACGAGCAGGGGGCGGACAGCTGACCTGACGCAGACGCAGACGCGGACGCAGCTACCTGAGGGGACGCAGTGGTCAGTGTGTAAAGGTCCGACCCCGGCTCCCGAGTGAAGGTAGCCAGGTGGCGACCCGTCCGAGCACACGTGCAGTGTGTCACGCGCTCGTAGGCAGGGGTGAACTGGTGAACACCCCCGTCCTGGAGCGCACTACCTGCCACCAAGTTCGTAGAGAACGAGGGGAGGTAGAGACCTGACAGCGTGCCGGACGGGACCGCCGGACAAGGAAGGACAGTGGAGGAGGTCGCAATGACCGGACCCCCAGAGGGGTCAGCAAGGGAGACAGCAACTGGCCGAGCGAGTGGCTCAAGGACAGTGCGGTCACGAAAGAAGGAGCGAGAAGCACCTGAGTCCAGTGTGAAGGTGTGCAGTGCTGCAGTCGACTCAGTACCAGGGGGCACGGACGCACGAGCACCTAGGGCAGCGGCCTCACCAGGACCTGTGGGAGCAGACGCACTAGCACCTAGAGCGGCAGCCGGACTGGCCTGAATGCCCGGGTCGGGCGGAACACGCAAGTACTGAGCACCCTCTCCACTAATAGACATCGCATACATGGCAGTGAGAATAGCATCAAAGTCTAAAGCCCAAATATCAACACCCCTCTTTTCCAGCTCAGCCCAGCGCGGCAGCTCAGTGGCAGCAGGAAACTGAGTGCGCCACGCGTCGTTAAGGCGCGCGAAGCAGCGCTGCGTGGGGTGCGGCCTCCCACACTGCTGGCCGCTGCGGTCACCTGTGCGAATGACGTACGTGCAGGTAACGCTACGCTGCGCATACCACTCACGGGCGGCCTGAAGTGTCGGGGCGGGCTGCTGACTCTGCCCTCCGCCAGTGCCTCCACGACCACCACCCCCACCGCCGCCGCCCCGGCCACCTCCACCCCTGCCGCCGCCACGACCACCTCCGCCTCCGCTGCCGCCTCCACCACCACTCCCGCCGCTGCTGTCTCCTCCCCCACTGCCGCCACTAGTCTCCCCAGCCGCGCCTCCACTCCCACCGCCTCCACCCCCACCTCCTCCGCCACCACCCCCACCCCTGCCCCCCTTGTTCCTGCGGCGCCCGCTCGAAGCAGACGCGGTCCCGACCTTCTCAGCACCAAGAAGGTCGACAGCAGCAGCAGAGGCGACAGAGGGGAGGAGGGGGGAAGGGGAACACCCCTCAAAGAACGGGGTGCGGGGGTCGCCACGAGAGGTGCCTACAGCGACGATGCTCGCCTCAGCTGCAAGCAGTTCCTTCTCGAGGAGGGCAACAGTGAGCTCAGTGGGGGAGCGAGAGAGGAAGTGGTCCCTGACTGCGCGCAGAGAGTCAGGGAGGCGGGTGACGATGTGGTAGAGAGTGATCCAGAGCGGGGGGGGGTTGCTAGTGAGAAACTCGGCAGGCATAGCAGCGCGAAAGCGGGCCTCACTAGTCTTAAGGTGGGTGATGAGGTCTGCGACAGTGTGAAAAGAGGCTAGGTCGGGGAACAGGTAGGGGAGAGTGAGGCGGCCTAGCGTGGCAGAAGCGGGTGAGGAGTAGCGGGCAACTACAGCGGTGTAGAGGTCCTTAGCAGTCTTGCACTGGCCGAAGTGCTCGCGCTCGTCTAGCGGCAGGGAGTTGCGAATAGCAAAGCGAGCGTGCGCATCACGGGTCTGCCACTGGGAACGCAGAGTGCTGTCAGCAGACGAGTCAGGGGCAGTGGCATGGCCTAGGGCATGGTCGTACAGTGAGATATCTTCCTTGGCAGTGAGCTGTAGGAACAGGTGCAGGTCATCGAGCCAGGTTTCGAACTTCACTGGACGGCCCTCGGCATCGAAAGCTAGAACTGGCGGACTAGCCATAGTGACAGTAGCAGTAGTAGTAGTGGCAGTAGTAACAGTAGTAGTAGGAAGCGTGGCAGCAGGAGCTGCAACGGCGCACTGGTGGCAGCTGCAGTGGTAGCAGTGTGCGCGGTAGGTAGAAAATAAACAGCAGTGAGATCGAGTGCCTCGCGGGCAGCGGCTGCAGAAGCGCACGGGCAGCAGCGGCGCACGGGCAGCGGTGCGCAAGCAGCAGCGGAAGCAGCGGCGTACGAGCGGTTGCGGGCAGCGGGGCGTCTGCGAGCAGGCGACGAGCGGCTGCGGGCGGGCGGCCGCTGCGACGGCGGGCTGCGGGCCTGCGGGGCGTGCGCGAGCGGCAGCGGCTGCGGGCCTGCGGCGCACTAGCGGTAGCGGGCGACTCGCGGGCGGCGGCTGCAAAGGCGCACGGGCGGCAGCGGCTTATGCGCACGGGCAGCAGCGCCGACAGCGCACGGGCGGCTGCAGCAGCGAGCGGTGCGCAAGCAGCAGCGGCAGCAGCGCACGGGTGGCAGCGGCGTCGGTGCACGGGCGGCAGCGGCGTCGGCGGACGGGCGGCTGCGGGCAACGGGCGTGCGGCAGCTGCGGCGGCGAGCTGCGGGCCTGCGGGGCCACGGCGGGGTGTGCGCGAGCGGGCGACGGGCGGCTGCAGCAGCGGGCGCGTCAGCGAGGCGCACAGGCAGCGCGCGGGCAGCGTGCGGGGCCGCGCGTAAAGAAAACAGCCGCGCGCGTGCGGCTAGCGGGGCGCGCGCAGCGAAATCGACCGCGCGCGGGCGGGTAGCGGGATACGCGCGCAAAAAAAAAAAAAAAAATTGAGTCGCGCGCGGGCGGCTGGCGGGCTGCGCGCGCGCGGTAGGTAGGAGGCGCACGAGGGCGCGTAGGCGCACGAGGCGCACAGTAGGTAGGTAGGTATGTAGGTAACGGTGGGCCCTAAGAACGGTCCTAGCGAAGGACCTGCTCTGAAACCATGTCAGTAATAACGGACTGGAATGACTGTACTAACAGAAGGATGGATACAAATAGGAAACCCTAATCCAGTGTACCCCCTAAGGTATCACCCACTACTGCCTACAATCATATAAACATATAATGTTTGACAGGAAGGTCACCGGAAACGTACGCCCACAGAGACTCGCCTGCCTGAACCTGGCTCTCTAAAAGGCGACGCGCACGTAGGAGTCAAACCGAAAACTCGAGCGGCCTACCCTTGGCGTCAAAGCGCAAGACCATAAGGGTCGCCATAGCGGAGGCAAAGAGTAGGGGAAGGAAATCGCCGAAACCCTAAACGTGACAGGTAGGGCGTACGGGACGCGGCGGACTGAGAGGGCTCAGTAGGGGCGCGACGATTGTGCAAGGCGCACGAGGCGCTACGGACGGGCAAAGCGCAGCGGGGGCGCGACGGACGGGCAGGGCGCACGTGGCGCGACGGACGGGCTGGGCGCAGCAGGGGCACGACGGACGAGCAGGACGCACGTGGCGCGACAGACGTGCGTAGCGCAGCGAGGGTGTGACGGACGGGCAGGGACGGGGACGGACGCAAGCACGCTGATAACAAGCACGTTGTCAGCAGATTGGGGGGGGGGGGGGGGGGGGGGGAACCAACGGGCAGGGCGCTGACAGCGGCAAGCACGCTGACAGCAGATTTCTTTGGGGGGGGGGGGGGGGGGGACGCGACAGGCGCGACGCGAGGGACGGGACGGGCAGGGACAGGCGAGACGCGGCGGACGCGACGCGATGGACGGGGCATGCAGGGACGGGTGCGACCCGACGGACGGGACGGGCAGGGACGGGCGCGACGCGGCGGACACGACGCGACGGACGGGACGGACGGGACAGGCGTGACACGGCAGACAGGCGCAGCGGGTGCGAGGGTACGAGACGAGCGTGACTAACGGAAGGGTACAGGACAGGCTCGAGCGCTACGGGCGTGAACGAGAGGAACGGAATCCCACGGGATCCTAACCTAGGTGATACCATGTCAGAATCGAAAGTGTTGCATTCACAATGTTGGTTGGGGTACATAAACCTAACCCTAAGAGTTGTACCCCCTATGACACACATCACTAAGACTACAACATTTGACACAGGTTGCATGCTGCCCATTCATCATGCTGCTCATTCACCATGCTGCTCATTCACCATGCTGCTCATTCACCATGCTGCTCATTCACCATGCTGCTCATTCACCATGCTGCTCATTCACCATGCTGCTCATTCACCATGCTGCTCATTCACCATGCTGCTCATTCACCATGCTGCTCATTCACCATGCTGCTCATTCACCATGCTGCTCATTCACCATGCTGCTCATTCACCATGCTGCTCATTCACCACGAGTCAGCTTCTTGCCTTCCAGAATCGGCAGCAGCCAAGCGTGCTGCATGTTGTTGCAGCCCAGGTCCAACTCCCGCAACGAGGGAATGCGGCTGAGACACTGCACAAACAGCTTCCTCATGCAACTGCACTGCTGCAGCTTCAACCGTTGCAGCCGCTCTAGCCCTTGCAGATGCACAGCAGCGCCTTGGCCGACTGCCGCTCCCGACAGGTCCAGCGCCTGCAGCTGCGGCATGCCCTGGATCACCGACCTCACAGCCCGGTCTGCTGCCAACGTGCAGGCAGCCAGGCTGAGGTCCATGAGCAGGGTGAGGCCAGTCAAGTACTGCAGGTTACAGTCATCAAGCGCCGTGTCTGTGATGTGGAGGGATGTGAGGCGCGTGAGGTTGGAGAGGGATCGCAGTGCTGCCGTGCTGGGCTCTGCTGCGTGCACCTCCAGGTGCTGCAGGCCTGCTAGGCCACCCACCACCTCCCATATGCTCCCGTCGATGCTGTTGCTTAACTCTTCACTCACACAGGCAGCCTCTTTCTTGGAAGGCCTTTGGAAGGTTTTCACAAATTCTGGCAGGCGCGATATGGAGAAGTCTAGCCTTGGCCCAACTAGCTTGGGCCCAAAGCGGTGCCCCTGGAAGGGGTTGCCAAAGTGGTGATCGTTGGATCCTGGGTGATGATTGTGGGCGCCAGCAGCAGCCTCCTCAGGTTCACCAGTCCCCTCAGGTGCATCCATCCCTTACAACTCACCCCTTTGCTGCACGTGCAGGACAAGGCCTCAAGTCTCGTCAGCACGCCCACCTGCTGCAGAAGAGAGTCAGACACCTGGCTCACATGCAGCTCTCTCAAGCTCTGAAATGGCTGGAGCTCGCTCACGGGATCACACAGATGGGACCGGCTTCCCTGGCGCTTGGGTGGTACGATGGGAAGCAGGTCAAAGGGGTGGAAGCAGGCCACAACGAGCCGGTGCAGCCGAGGCAGGCACTGCAAGAGTGGCAGGGCATCGGCATGGAGGGAAGTTTTGTGGAAGTGAAGGGCTGTGAGGGAGGGCATGCGGAGGAGGTGCCTCATGGCGAGCGGCAAGACAGGGTTGACACGGCGGAGGTCGAGACTGGTGATGGCTGGTAGGCAGTGCGGGTAGTAGAGTGGCGTGAGGTGGAGGTAGAAGGCGAGGGAGAGGTTACAGAAGGAGAGCTGTGTCGCAGTGGGGTCCTGGGAAGAGAGCTGAGACACCACCCGGTTGATTTCTGGGGTAACGCTTTCCAGCCTGTCGGGACGGAATTGCAGTATAGCGTTGATCCTTCCCTGCAGCCTTGCCCTCACCTCCGCTTTGCTTGCTCTCCCACCAACCGGCCACTCAGGCGCTCCCCCTACCTGGGTTCCCCCCGCTCTCCCCGCCCAGCCTCCCCCTCCATCCCTATGTGCGTTCCTCCCCTCCGCATTCATTGTAACCGCTCCCCCTGAATCCACTGTCGGCCCCTCTCTGCTCCCGACACTGTGGCCAGCGGAAAGGAGTGGCTGCAGTGGCCCGGCGGGGCAATAGTGGAGGCGTGGGATTAGGGCACGAGCGGAAAAAGAGGAGAGAATGAGAGAGGTTTGGGACAAGGAGAAAGAGTGGAAAGAGGGGAGAAACGAAATAATGGGAGGAAGACACAGGAAACAAGCAGAGGAGGAAACGGAAGGGGAGGAAAAGAGAAGAAAAGGGAGTAAGGAGGAGGAAGATGAAAGAATAAGGGACGGATGTAAACAAGAGGGATCAGGCAAGTAGCAGGTGAGTGTCTCTGATTCGAGGTCTGACAAATGCGTTACTTGTAAGACAAGAGGGGATTTTTGTCACATTTTTTTAAGCTTCTGACCCACACGAGGTGGTGACTGTCTCCAACTCCCTCTTGTGCTGATTGCCCTCAATCCCCTCCCCCAGCCGTCCATCTCTCCTCCCCCTGCTTACCTGCACTTTGGGAAGATTGTCAAGAACTTCCACTTTTACGGATCTCTCCCTTGCAACCGCTTACCTCACTGACTGTCTGTCCACATCGCCTGCTCGCCCCTCCCCTGAACCCTGTTGTGCTCCTTGCCCTACTCCCTGCTCTGCACTTTGCCCTACCCACTGCTTTGCACCTTGCTCTGCCCCTTGCTCTGCCCCTTGCTCTGCCCCTTGCTCTGCCCCTTACTCTGCCCCTTGCTCTGCCCCTTGCTCTGCCCCTTGCTCTGCCCCTTGCTCTGCCCCTTGCCCTGCCCCTTGCCCTGCCCCTTGCCCTGCCCCTTGCTCTGCCCCTTGCCCTGCCCCTTGCTCTGCCCCTTGCTCTGCCCCTTGCTCTGCCCCTTGCTCTGCCCCTTGCTCTGCCCCTTGCTCTGCCCCTTGCTCTGACCCTTGCTCTGCCCCTTGCTCTGCCCCTTGCTCTGCCCCTTGCCCTGCCCCTTGCCCTGCCCCTTGCCCTGCCCCTTGCTCTGCCCCTTGCTCTGCCCCTTGCCCTGCCCCTTGCCCTGCCCCTTGCCCTGCCCCTTGCTCTGCCCCTTGCTCTGCCCCTTGCTCTGCCCCTTGCTCTGCCCCTTGCTCTGCCCCTTGTCCTGCCCCTTGCTCTGCCCCTTGCTCTGCCCCTTGCTCTGCCCCTTGCTCTGCCCCTTGCTCTGCCCCTTGCCCTGCCCCTTGCTCTGCCCCTTGCTCTGCCCCTTGCTCTGCCCCTTGCTCTGCCCCTTTCCCTGCCCCTTGCCCTGCCCCTTGCCCTGCCCCTTGCTCTGCCCCTTGCTCTGCCCCTTGCCCTGCCCCTTGCCCTGCCCCTTGCCCTGCCCCTTGCCCTGCCCCTTGCTCTGCCCCTTGCTCTGCCCCTTGCTCTGCCCCTTGCTCTGCCCCTTGCTCTGCCCCTTGCTCTGCCCCTTGCTCTGCCCCTTGCTCTGCCCCTTGCTCTGCCCCTTGCTCTGCTCCTTGCCCTTCCCCCTGCTTTGCTCCTTGCCCTGCCCCTTGCGCCCCTTCTTGCATTGCCACTTGTTCTGCTTCTTCCTTTCGCTCTGCTTCGTTGTTGTGCTTCTCCTCTGCCTCGTCGCTTGCTCCTTCCACTTGCGTGAACCCCGTTCCCCCCTCAAACCCTCGCCTCCGAGTCTCATTCTCGGAAACCTCAAGCCCATATCCCATCGTCTCGTCCATTCCCTTGGTCGTTTCCTCCACCTCGTCCCTCACCCTCTCCTCCTGCGCCTCCGCCTCCCCTTCCTCGTTCTCCTCTTCCCACGGCTTCTGCATCGCCTCCTCGCTCTCCTCTCTCACTCTATCCGCGTGAGCCTTCCCACCCGCACATCCGAATGCCACCCTCCTCGCTGCCTGCACCATTGAACGGATGGCCTCCACATGAGCAGGCAGAGCCGCCAGATGCTGCCACGTGGGCGATCCGACGAAGGGGTTAGGGAGGGTGTGGGGGAACAAGAGAGAAATGTGAGCGGCCATTTTTCTCCAGGGTCAAGTTTGCAAGGCTGACTTGCACGAGAGGACAGGACAGGTAGGTTGGAGTCCTGCACGCCTCACTCTCAGCGTTGCTGACTGAATGGCGTCTGCATCAGCAGACATGCTGCAAGATAGGGCATGGGAGCCAGGAGAAGCAGTGGGGGGAGAGCGTATGATGGAGAGGTGCAGAGGCCAAGCGCGGATAAGGGGCCAGGAACGGGGAAGAGGCTTATTAGATCCTGTCAGATGGTGCTGGGCAGATAAAATAAATATATAAGACGGGGGACGGGCGATATAGATAGAGTTGCGGTATAAAGGACGGGGGATATAAATCCAGGGTCCACGTATGGACGGGAATGGAGCCTTCCAAGGCCTGAAATAGTTAGTTGGAGGGGAGTGACACACGGAAGCAGGAGCGGAGAGTAGAGCACAAGGAGAGAGAAGGGAGGATGTGAAGGTAGGGAAGGCAATAAAGAGTGGGCGGAGGGGATACGAGAAAAGGAGAAGAAGGGCGATGCCCATGCGAGGGACGAACCCAGTCGCAACGAGTCAGGACGACAAAGTAGAGAGAGAAAAGTTGGGAGGCGGCGGATTGAATGAGAGGGAGGAGGGAGCCATGCATGGATGGGCAAGAGGGAAGACGGATGGCGTGCATTGGAGATGGGGACAAGGTATGTCAAGGCACTACATGGAGAGGCTTGTGCGCGTACCTCCGATTTACGGTGTGGATGTGTAATATGGGGCATGGCGTCGCACGTGCGATAAGCACGATGAGATATGTGTAGGGCATTGCATGGCATCGCGTGTCTTGTAATGGCATGGCATGATGGTGCAGCGGGACGGCGTGGCACGGCGTCGTTACCTTCGCACGGCACGTCGTACGTATTCACGCACCAGCCACCTGGGAGCGACCAACAGCTTTCGACAGACGGGGCGAAGTCACCACAAATGGGTGATTTCTGGGCACGGTGAGAAGGGATGGCCTTCCCGGTAGGGACGATTGTCAGGTTGCTAAAAGAGAAACTTGCTGGCACAGCGCGTAGAAGAAAGAACGGTGGGAGAGAATGACGGATTGACGCTGGGAAGGTATTACTGAGCGGATCATTCAGCGGGCCCAGGATGCGACGCCGCTACGGACGCATGCAAGCGGGTAAGGAATGGAATGAGGCAGATCGAGTCGCTATACGCATGCGTCAGTAACAGCATCACTTCATCTAATTCGTTCACGGAAGGTAGTGTGGCACTAGCTGCAAGTCTGCGACATTTCTATCGTCCATAGACAGGCAAAGCGAGGAATGTTTTCTTTTGAAAGAAACAGCTTTCTGCGGGTGGGAGGATTTTTTCATTCTCGAGCTTGCAGATAAAGCGCATGGAGTGGAAAATGTTAGAATAAAGCACTAGGATGGTTTGACTAAGGCAAGCAGTGATACAAGTATGAAACCCTAAAGGGGTTGTACCCCTTAGTGGCTACCCCACTGCAACCTACAGAATACAAACAACTAAATAACGTTTGACACACCCCCATAGGCAAAGTGGGGGAGAACAAGTGGTCTCAAGACCAGTCAAGAGAGGCAAGACAAGCCCAGGGTGGATCTCAACGTCACCACACATTCGAAGCACAAGCAAGGAGGGCCACAAGGCCAGTTCACAAGCACTGATATACAAGAGAGAGCAAGCAAAACAGCAATCACCACCTAGCAAGTGTAGGCATGCAGGTATATATAATGAATCATAGTACAAACAAGGTCAAGCAGTGAGCAAGTGCGAGAAAGTAGGCACGAGGCCTAGAGCAATGCAGTGACGCTGATGATCACTAGGCGGAAGCGCCTTGGTGAAGATATCAGCTGTGTTGGCCCGCGTGTCCACGTAAGCAAGACGAAGCTGACCGCGCTGCTGCAGCTCTCGAGCAAGAAAGTAACGCAGAGCAATATGCTTTGTCCTGTGCTCCAGTCTGTGCTCCTGACACAAGGCAAGGGCTGCCTTGTTGTCGCCGTACAGAACTGGAGGAGAACGCGGCTGCTCTCCCAAGTCAGTCAGCAGGTAAGTGAGCCAGCGTAACTCATGTGCAGCCATGGCTGTGGCGTAGATCTCAGCCTCACAACTGGAGCTGAGAACAGAAGACGAACGGGTAGACCGCCAAGAGACAGAACCAGAGCCAAGGCTGAAGGTGTAACCCTGCGACGACCGCTGCGTAGCCAGGTCGTCAACCCAAGAGGCGTCTGAGTGTCCAGTGAGGACAACGTCACCCCGTCCTCCAAGCACCAGCCCCATGCCTGATGTACTGCACAAGTAGCGCAGCACCCTCTTAGCAGCCTCCCAATGCTTTCGTCTGTGCCTCCCAGGCGCAACGTAGCGAGCCAGGATGCTAAGAGGGTACGCAAGGTCAGGTCGTGTGCAAGTCATCAGGTATATGAGGCAGCCCACAAGCTCTGGGTACGGGCCACTCGGCTCTATGGACTCGTCCGAAGGTGGAGCTGAGAGCGAGTGACCGGTAGACAGAGGAGTGGACTATGGTGAGGAGAACTGGAAGCCGAAGCACTGAAGGACCTGCTGCACCATGTGTGACTGAGTCAGGGTGATGGTGCGGCGTGCTCTGTCCCGGGTGATCTGCAAGCCAAGGTAGCTGCGCAGCTCACCCAGGTCTGTGCACGTGTGTCTCTTCTGTAGCTCCGACTTCACAAGAGCGAGTGCCTCAGTGTCAGCAGTAGCAAAGACCAGGTCGTCAACGTACACGAGGATGTAGAACGGCGGCAGGGACGTGTCGGTGCGGAGGAACAGCGACGGGTCTGCAGTCGAAGGAGCAAACCCAAGTGCCGCAAGAGTCGTCCTCAGTGTGTCGTGCCACTCACGAGGTGCTTGGCGTCGACCGTAGACTGGGCGCCGGAGGCTCCACTGGGTACCGGGAGGGAACGACCCAGTGAAGCCAGGAGGGCGACGCAGCCAGATCTCCTCGTGCAGGCTGCCTTGCAAGAAAGCTGTGCTGAAGTCAAGAGAGTGAAGCTCGTAGTCTCGCTGAGCGGCAACGTGCAGCAGCACCCGAAGAGTAGTCATCTTCGGGGTAGGGGAGAAGGTTTGGAAGAAGTCAACTCCCTGTCGCTGACTGAAGCCTCGTACAACGTAACGAGCCTTGAAGACAGGCGGAGAGCCCGGCGGCCGCTTCACCCTGAAGATCCACATGCCATCGACGATGTTCGTCCCAGGAGGGGGAACCTCGTCGACGTAGGTGCCTGTGGACTTCCAGGATGCCATCTCTGCGTCCATGGCTGTCTGCCACTGAGAGGAGTAGGGACCCGAGATCGCCTCTGTGTAAGAGCGCGGGGTCGGGATGTCTGGTGCATCCGGGTCTCCCTCAGGGGCAAGCAGCCAGGCCACGAGATGAGGTACAACAGCCGCAAGACAGTCGAGCTCCTCCTGCCTGTCCTCAAGGACGTCCGTGCCAATAGCACACTCACCCCCGACGGACGGAGGATAGACAGACTCAGACCCAGCAACAAGACTAGCGGCGTAGTCTAGACGACACGCAACAGCAAAGTCAACAAGCTCAGCAACTAAGGCAGACGCAGCAGCAGACTCAAACGACGGGTCAGTAACAACAGTGGCCAGAAGACGCGTGACTGTGGGACTGGCAGCACGAAGAGCGTCAAGCACAGGGTCAGGAAGCTTAGGAAGAGAGGACGCAGGAGGAGAAGGCAGTGGGACTCGGTGCCGAGCAGAGGAGGGACGAAGTGCCTTGGTGTGAACGCCCGGCACAGGAGGAGGACGCGGACGCGGGACACGGCGAGCAGTGCGAGCGACGCGAACAGGCGAGGCAGGACGAGACGCAGGCTCACGACGCTCTGTAAGCGAGTCTGTCTGCTCAGTGTAAGGAGAAGGAGCAGGCAGCGGAGAGCCAGGCTGGAGTGGAAGACCAGTAGAAGACGGGAGGGTAAGAACCTGACGAAGCACGGAGTCAGATGGCTGGAGAGACGACGGCGACGGCGGAGTGAAGAACAGACGCCGCTGCGCAGCACCACCAGCGCAGCACCTCCAGAACCAGCGTCACCAGCTCCAACTCCTCTCGCCCCAGAGGCTCCAGCACCAGGAACTCCAGCGTCAGCACCTCCAGCACCAGGACCTCCAGTCCCAGTGTCTCCAGCTCCAGCGTCTCCAGCGGCAGACCCGACGGCTCTAGTAGCCCCAGGACCAGCACCACCAGCCCCGGCAGCTCCAGTACCTCCAGTACGAGCACCTCCGGGACCAACAGCACCAGGGGCTCCTCCAGCACCAGCAGCAGCACCTCCAGCAGCTCCAGCAGCCAAGCCCTCAGCACCATCAGCACCACGCGAACGGCAGTAGCGTCGAGTGTACCACTCACGCAGCTGCTGCGGGGAGAGAGGCTCCTGCCGACCAGACCCAGGCGCAGCACCCCCAGGCTCAGCACCCCCAGGCTCCACATGCTTAGGCTCAGCACTCCCAGGCGCAGCACCCCCAGGCTCCACGCACTCAGGTACAGCACTCTCAGGCTCAGCACCCCCAGGCTCAACACGCTCAGGCTCAGCACTCCCAGGCGCAGCACCCCCAGGCTCCACGCACTCAGGCACAGCATCCCCAGGCTCAGCAGCTCCAGGCTCGTCACGCTCAGGCTCAGCACCCCCAGGCTCCACGCGCTCAGGCTCACTACCCTTAGGTCCCGCACCCGCAAGCTCAGCACCCTCAGGCCCTGCACCCAC